CCCGACGATGGCGGCGTATAAGGGATCTGGGTTTTTTTTTTAGGTTGTAGGTAGGGGGTCAGGGGAAGAAGATGAAGATGGGGGAGAAGATAAGGGAAGATGAGGGTGAAAGACGAACTGAAGAGTTTTATTTTTATTTTTATTTATTTATTTTCTGGGTTGCAGGGGGAAGAAGATGAAGATGGGGGAGAAGACAGGAGAAGGGATGAGGAAGATGAATTGAAGGACTTTTTTTTTTTTTTTTTTTCTAGGTTGCAGGGGGAAGAAGATGAAGATTAAGATGGGGGAGAAGAGAGAAGGAGGAGGAGGGAGGATAAGGTTTCTGGGTTTGAGGGTTGCTGGGAGAAGAGAGGAGGAAGAAGGGGGATAAGGTTTCATCTTTTTATTTATTTATTTTTTTTTTTAATTTAGAAGATTTAGGTTTTTCTTTTAAATTAAAAAATTATTCTTTTTGCCACGTGGCACACATTTGGCAGCCATGTAGAACAAATGTGGCAGCCACGTCAACGCTTAAGGGATCAATGGATGAAAAATGTAACAGAGGTATTATTTTGAAATAAAATAATACGTGAGGTATGAAAGTGGAATGTTTTGCTAAACTATCTTACAAATTCAATCGTTAAACGTTATACTGTAACCCAAGACAAAGATAAAATTATACAGTTTGTTTACAAATCAAAACAAAGTGCTGCTATAATCTGCAACCGCTATGAATCATAAGATGGTAAGTGAGAGAGAGAGAGAGTATAGTAAGTTTCTGAAAAAATTGCTAAACCATCTTACAAATTCAATCGTTAAACGTTATACTGTAACCCAAGACAAAGATAAAATTATACAGTTTGTTTGCAAATCAAAACAAAGTGATGCTATAATCCGCAACCGCTATGAATCATAAGATGGTAAATTAGAGAGAGAGAGAGAGAGAGAGAGAGAGAGAGAGAGAGAGAGAGAGAATTCGAGAAGCACCTGCTAACATTACCTGAAAATTGAAAATGGTGGTTTTCATATGAAGATACAGCGCCTAATATGAAATCAAGGCACAAAAATTATAATTAAATTTTTTATGTATAGTAAAAAACTAATTCATCGATTAATTAAGACAAATGACTGAAAATGTCAACTTTTCAATTGTTATCAGTATTACATGGACTAAAAGAACAGGAGACGTAAGATTTCATGTAGAAGATCGCTTGTATAAACTAAATCCAGTAAATCAGAGAAAAATGTAATACAACAGTACGATTCTTTACCCTTCCGTTAAAGTTTGAACAGACCAACATATCAATTTAAGGAAAACAAATCACCTTCTCAGCCTTGGCAACAACTTGTGCAGATTTTCCATACAATTTTTCTCTAACAGCAAGTTGACCCTTCAATTTCTTATCTTTCAAGCCATGAAAGCACAAAATCCAAGATGCAGTGACAAATAAACATGTATAAGTTTCATGAAAACTCGGGCCTGTTTGGTATTGGATTTAAGTCCAAAGTTTTTAACTCAAAAATAATTTTTAAGTTTTAAGATAAAAAAAAACCTATTTGCTAAGCCCATTTTGCAAAACTGGACTAAAAAAAAATTAAGAACAACCCATTATAATTTGAAAATAACAAAAGTCAGGTTTTAGGTTTTTTTTTTTTTTTTTTTTTTTTCAGGAATTCATATCCCTGCGCTGCGCAGACCGCGAGCAGGCCTTGCGCCTCACCAACAATGAACAACCAAGATATTCCGGCCAATAGGGTGAAGGTTCGGGTGAATAGCTTTACGCTCTGAGTGCTTGATTGGGTACGAAACTGGGCCATTCTCTTCACTGCCAGGAACAATCAAGGTAATGGGTCTTTCTATTACTGTTTTGTTTGGTTCCCATGAGGATTGATTTGTGAACTGAATTTGTTGTGCTGTTGTTTGGGCCCAAAATATCAATTTGGGCCGAGTATAAAATTATTCTTGGCCCAGAAGGCCTTACGACAGGGTTAGCAGAGATCGTTTAGTTCTGGATCGGTTAGGTCGTGGGCTTCCAAACCTGGGTCGGTTAAGTCATGCTGCATGACGAGTCGAATCCTGGTGCAATGAGGAGTCTCGGTAAGATTAATAACCCAGAAGTGAATCCGGCTCAATAAAGGACTAGGTTCACAATTATAGTGAAAATAGGACTGGTCGAGTTAGTGTTTGATCAGGAGAAGAAGTCCTAATCTGGGTAGGTTTTTAACTCGACCTTGAAGGTAACCGATGCTATAAATAGAGGAGGCTGTACATCGTTCAGGGCTCTTCCAATTCAACACACAACTGCCCTGCGCAAATTCTCAACAACTTTGAGATTTTTATTTTCTCTTTTCGCTGACACATCTTCCGTTGGCATCAACAACACTGTGAAAGCAACCGGTGATATCTTAAGTCGGCATAGATAGCTCTGTTGCCTTAGAATCAGCCGATCTCGCAGCATCTTCCGTTGGCATCAACAGCACTGCGGCAAGGACGGTTGGTTACCTATCCAAGTTTCAGTCGAGAAGGATTTCCGAATCCTTATTGATTGAGGTCATCTCGTTAGCCTTCTCGGTGAAGCGAGGTGTTACAGCCTACTGAGCTCGGCGCATTGTACGCCGAATTATTTTATGATTGGATACTCTCAAATAGGATTTAGAGTTCGGCATTCAGACGGCCGAACCACGTTCACTATTAAGACTCATATTTGCTTTGAGTATTTGTGCCCTTACACTTTGGTGTCGATTCGGCATGAGTTTACCCTGACGAATACCATCAATGTGACCGAATCCAACGACGACGATTCGTGAACTCCGTAAGAATAGTAGCCTTGTCTTCAGGTTCGAGAACCCAAGAGGCCGAGACGTGTTCCTTCCCAGGTCCCAATCGCAAGACGCAGAAGTCAGCCGCGCACCCAACGCAACATCAATAAATTTACTCCTCAGCCGAGCTCGGCTGACGAGTTGGCACACCCCGCATTCATCGAATGACGTAGTTAGCTTATAGAATACTCGACCTGCGCGCCACGCAGGCTTGGTGGTTTTTTGGGTCAACATTTTGGCATACCCAGTGCTAAACTACGAAGTTCATGCCAATTGAAACGCGATCGGTAAAAAGGAAAACAGCTATGGGAAAATCAATAGTCGATTTGCCAATTTAGAACATAGGATAAAGTGTGCCGCAGGCGCAGAATCCCATTAGCGTCGTGACACCTGAGTCCACCAGCGCTACTCGTCGAGAAATAGAGGTTAATCTCGGCGGTTAGTTTCGCAGTCTTGAAATCCCTAACAGGAACACCTGCGTTCTCAATGAAAGGATAGTGGAAGATTGTGACGAGGATGATGGCAAGGGATCTGATCCACCAACAAGATCGTTTCTTAAAAAACGACTTGACGAGCAATCTCAGACGATTGAACAGACGTTTAGTTGAGGAATCGATAAACTTCATGATGTGATACGCAATACCAGTGAGGCACAAACCATATTACTTGAAATACTGGTTAGTAAGGTCAGTGACGGTAGGTCTTTCGATCTTGCCCAGCACTTGCCACTAAGAAATAATCTATTACCAATTGCACCGGCCGAGGCAACCCCTGCTCGGCTCAAACCAATTAACTTGGAAAAATGAGGAGGATCAAATAGTAGGTTAGACGGATCCAACCAGAGAGTGAAAGCAACACCCGTTGATATAATCGAGGTCCAACGGATGATCGATTCGGCCATGAAGAAAGGGCCGAAGCTCCCTAAATTTATACATCTGTATCCAGCTTATGTGGAACAGTTCGAATACCCTAGAGGTTTCAAAATCCCAGATTTTAGCCTTTTCGCGGGAGCATAATCCTTATCCTTGTTGGAACATGTGGCTCGTTTCACTGCGCAATGCAGAGATATTAATAGCGACTTTCACAAGCTGCGACTGTTCAACTTTTCGTTGACCGGTTCAGCATTTGCTTGGTATATCAACCTCCCACCGAATTCTGTCTAGAGCTGGGAGGAGTTGGTTGAGAAATTTCATGAGCAGTTTTATCGGCCAGGGATGGAAGTGTCAGTGTCCTCGTTAGCAAGGATGGCTCAAGGATCCGACGAGTCACCAATGGATTATCTTACCTGATTTAAATCAACCAGGAATTGGTGCCGAGTACCTCTCCCTGAAGTCGAATTCGTCAGACTGGCTCTGAATGGTCTTGACGTAGAATACAAAAAGAAATTATTGGGGGCAAACTTTCGGGATATGTATGAACTAGCCCAGCATGTCGAGCAATATGATTATTTGCTCCGTGAAGAGAAGATCTCGAAAGCTCCATCCAAAGGGACGATCTACAAAAATCCCACTGTCAGTTATGCATCGGCCGAAGGTGAATGTGTTAGCGTGGACGCAGCTGAGATAGTCATAGATAAGCCATCGTTTGCAAGGCACTGACTCAAATTGACTCTAAGGAAGTCAAAACCCGCTTGACCCCTGAACAAACACTGAAAATGTCAAAAGTCTTTTGATAATACAAAGGCCGATGCAAATTTTGATCAATTGCTATCAGTGAAGATCATCAAACTTCGGCCTAGGCATATCATTCCCAAGACCGACGAGCTTAAAGGAAAGATATATTGCAAATACCATAATTCAAGCAAACATACGACAAATAATTGCGTCGTGTTTCGAGACAACATCCAAAGCTGGATTGACAATGGCAAACTCAGGTTTCCGGAGAAGAAGATGAGTGTTGATACCGACCCATTCCCCACGGCAACAGTAAATATGGTAGATGCTCGCCTACCTAGGGACAAAGGAAAAGGGAAAGCAGAGGTCGCTACACCGCAACGTTCTCTGAATCAGAATTATCGGCCATGTTTCAATGCTGATTTTCATTCAAACAAACCACCTACGGTTCTAATGGGACCCGCTATTGTCAAGCCCATGATAGATTACAGCACTGATGAAGACAGTGGGTCGGCAGTTTTATGCAGCAAATGTCAACACCGAGCCAAAGGAAAAGTCTTCACCGCCTATAATGGGACAACCTACAGCCGCAACACAACCAAAGGTGCTCAACGCAAGCCAACATCAAGGGGTTTTTGATAGGCTCGGTCCTAAAGTAAGGGTGGAAGAGACACCTTCAGTCAGACGGCGCCTCGATTTTGATGCTCCGTTTTATGACGAAGATTATTACATACGTAATTCTCGTAGCTCAAAATCATCGCAGAGCCAAAAAACTTTCAAACCTCCCAAACCTCGAGACCAGCGTTGGTATACATATCACTCTTTGAAAGATGTCTACACTGCACTGTCCAAATCCCAGAAAGGTCAACACCAAAAAATAGATTGCATGGCCCGCCGACGGGCAGCCTAAGAAACTTCGGTCCCTAAATGGCGGCCGAAGGAAACAGTTGCCAATAACAATGAACGACCATCTCCAACGATTATGACAGAGCTGGTTCAAGGGAAACGGCTGGTCAATCGAGATGTCGAAACCACGTTTGAGGAAGCTGATAAACGGATCAAACTTCTTCTGTGGCCCGGGGAGATGAAGGCACGCTTCGAGCATTTCAAGCAAGAAGCTGAATTCAAACTGCCCCCGCCAACCACACAAGCACCTTTGATTAAAATTAGATGGAATTTACATCCACCATTCCTCGGGAAGGCCTTGGAATATATGAGAGAGTTTCATAAAAAACATTCGGCCAACGATCTATATGGTTTGCCGAAAGCATGTCAAGATACAATAGATCTCGTCCTAACTTGCCCGGATGCCGAGCGAATTATTCAGAAGACCTCATATCCAGGATTGAAAGCTAGGTTCTAACACATACGAGAAGCTCGAGTCCTTGGTTTTGAAGTCGACCCATACACTAATATCGATGCAGTCGACCTGCCTTTCTCAATGAAGGACCTTCAGTATTTACGATACCATTTCGAAATCTTTTCGGCTGTTTCTCTTTTCAGCCTTACGGCTGATGAAATAACACGAGTCACACGGTTAGATGCCTATCTCGACACCAGGGATGCCCGTATAATATACCAAGAGCAAGCTCGTATCCTGGCACCAATCCCAGGCACACTTCTGATCTCAGACCCACTTGAAGCACATACGCAGAACCAACCAACAGGCTGCCGAATAGACACCGCGGGAACAAACTATTAAAGAAGGGGTAGATGAGTCTCTTGGTACAACTCTGACGGAAACGGATGCTGCAGTCGGTGACCAGGAAAGAGAAGAGGCTGAAGAAGATGATCGTAACCCGATGGGCCCGTCAGTCCTGGATAACATGGAAATCAGTACGGTCCATGTTTTGCCCGCTGATTTTCAGTCAAACATAGCTCAACCGAATTTCCTCGATGCCGACATAGTTGCCGAGGAAGCCAGTCACATTAATTTTGTAACCATTGCTCAAGTCGAGTCGACAACAAAAGATGACAATCTAAAGGCAGCTTTGGCCGAATTGTTTCCTTGCTCCTCATCGGCCAAACTTCATCATTTGAAGCCATTGTATGTAATGGCCCATATCGAAGGGTATCCAGTCTCCAAAGTTTTTGTCGACTGTGGAGCCACCGTCAATATCATGTCTGTAAACGTCATGAAGACATTACGTTGCTCCAATGACGAACTTATTCCCTCCGGGATCACAATGAGCATTTCGTCGGAGACAAATCCCAAACCAAATGGGTGCTTCCTTTAGCGGTAAACATTGCCGGCCATAATCACATAACTGCATTTTTTATCGTCGACTCCAAGATCGAGTATAATACACTGCTCGGTCGAGACTGGATTCATCAAACCAGCTGTATTCCTTCATCATTGTATCAAGTGCTCATTTTTTGGGACGAAAAATCGGTCATTCTTCACCCGGCCG